GAAGAATGGGAAGGACTTTGTCTTACATCTTGGATACCAGCTCAGCCCTAGCAGGACGGGACAATGATCAGATTCATGAGGTCCCCTTTCCAGGCCCTAGCTCTCATAAGACATTTCTAAACACATCTTAGACCAGAAGGGAACTCCCTACCTTGAATGCAAGGACCCAATCCTGGCAGGATTCATCACTTGCTAACTAAAAAACCCTTGGGCCCAGGTTCTCCAATGAGGGCCTTGGGTGAGACTCTGAGACTTGCTGGCTTCAGATGAGGCTCAGCACATTCCCAGCTGTGGTGGCTGTGGGGCAAGTCTCCTGCTTGAGAAAAGCAGAGGTAAAAGTAAAGGGGACTTTGTCTCACACCTGAGGTACCAGCTGAGCCACTGGAAGGGAGAGCAACAAGCAGCCACTCGGGGTCCCTGATTCTAGAACTTAGCTCTGGGATGCCATTTCTGGACATTCCCTGAGCCAGAAGGGAGCCAACTCTCCTGAAGGGTGTGTCCCAGACCAGGCAACATTTACCACAAGCTGACTGAATGGCCCTTTGGCCTTAAGGGAACATCAGAAGTAGACTGGCAGCATTCTGTGTGTGTGTGAGGTAGAGGTGGTCAAGGGGTGAGGCTTCTCTGCCTTTAGAAAGGGGAAGGAAGAGTAGGAAGGACTGTTTTGTGGTTTGAGCACCAGCTCCTCTGCAGTATAATAGAACACTGGGTAGACATCTGAGGTTTCTGCCTCTAGTCCCTGGCTCCTAGACAACACTTCTGTATCTTTCCAGAGCCTCGGAAAACTTGCTGCCCTGAAATGAAGGACATAAGCCTGACCACCTTTGTCACCTGATTGTAAAAGCCCAGGGCTTTCCGTGAATATATGTGGTAGTCAGGAAGTGCTTACATCAGGCCTTGGGCAAGATCTGGTGGTATGGTGGTAGTAGGGGTGCTTGTGCCAATCCACCACCAGCTCCAGGTGGCTCAGAAAAGACAGCAAGACTCTGCTTGGCAGAAAGTAACAGAAGAGAACAAGAATCTCTGCCTGATAATTCAAGAAGTCTTCTGGATATTGTCCAAGACCATCAAGATGGTACCTCTATGAGTCTGCAAGAACCACAGTGCTACTGGGCTCGAGGTCCCCCCTAAAGCAGATGCAGCTTACATTAGAACACCTAAGTCCTTTAGAATATATGGAAAGCCTTCCCAAGAAGTATGGGTGCAAACGAGTTCAGACTGAGAAGACCACAATAAATACCTAATTCTTCAATGCTCAGACATGGATGAACATCTGCAAGTATCAAGACAATTCAAGAAAACATGACCTCACCAGAAGAACTAAATAAGCGATTAGGTACCAATGCTGGAGAAAGAGATATGTGACCTTTCAAACAGAATTCAAAAAAGCTGTTTTGAGAAAACTCAAAGAAATTCAGAATAACACACAGAGAGAATTCAGATCTATCAGATAAATTTAACAGAGATTGAAATCATTAAAAATCAAGCAGAAATTCTGGAGTTGAAAAAAGCAATGGGCATACTTTAGAATGCATCGGAGTTTAACAGCAGAATTGAACAAGCAGAATAAAGAATTAGTGTGCTTAAAGACAGGCTATTTGAAAATACACAGAAGAGACCAAAGAAAACTGAATAAGAAACAATGAGGCACACCTACCGGGGATCTAGAAAATAGCCTCAGAGGGGCAGAGTTATTGGCCTTAAGGAGGAGATAGAGATAGGGGTAGAAAGCACATTCAAAGGGAAAATAACAGAGAACTTTCCAACCTAGAAAATGATACTAATATCCAAGTACAAAGAGGTTATAGGACACCAAACAGATGTAAACCAAAGAAGACTACCTCAAGTTTTATTATTTTATTTAATAATGAAACTCCCAAAGTCCAAAGATAAAGAAAAGATCCTAAAAGCAGCAAGAGAAAAGATACAAGTAAAATACAATGGAGTTCCAATACATCTGGCAGCAGACTTCTCAACAGAAACCTTACAGGCAATGAGAGAGTGGTATGACATATTTAAAGTGCTGAAGCAGAAATAAAGACTTTCCCAGACAAACAAAAGCTGAGGGATTTCATCAACACCAGACCTGTCCTACAAGAAATACTAAAGACAGTAAGTTGACCAGAAAGGAAAGAACGTTAATGAGCAGTAAGAAATCATCTGAAGATGTTAACTCACTGGTAATGTTAATTACAGAAAAGCCAGAATATTAAAACACTGTAACTGTGGTGTGTAAACTACTCTTAAGTAGAAATACTAACCAATGAACCAATAAAAAATAACTATAACAACTTTAGTTAAAAAAAAATAAAGTTAAGATGTAGAGTCTTTATTAGTCTTTTTGTTTATGCAAACAATGTTCTTGTTATCAGCTTCAAGTAATGGATTATAAGATAGTATTTGCAAGCCTCACAGTAACTTCAACCCGAGAAACATACAATAAATACACAAAAATAAAAAGCAAGAAACTAAGTCACATAACCAGAGAAAATCACCTTCACTAAAGGAAAGCAGGAAGGGAAGGAAAAAGAGAGGATGACAGAACAATTAGAAAACACATAGCAAAATGGCAGGAGTAGTTAATTACTTTTCAATAGTAACATTGAATGTAAATGGACTAAACTCTTTAATTAAAAGATAGAGTGGCTGATTGGTTGAAAAATCAAGGCCCATTAATCTGTTGCCTACCAGAAACACATTTGACCTGTAAAGACAAAAACAGAGTGAAAATAAAGAGATGGAAAAAGATATTCCATGCTAATGGAAACCAATAAAGAAAAGAAGTAGCTATACTTATATCAGACAAAATAGATTTCTAAAACAAAAGCTACAAGAAGAGACAAGGTCACTATATTCTCAGAAAGGGGTCAATTCAGCAAGAGAATATAACAATTTTTAAAATATATGCATCCAATACTGGAACCCCCAGATATATAAATAAAATATTATTAGAGCTAAAGAGATAGATCCTAATACAATAATAGCTGGAGACTTCAACACCCCACTTTCAGCACTGGACAGATTTACCAGATAGAAAATCAATAAACGTCAGACTTAATGTGCACTACAGAACAAATGGATCTAATACATATTTACAGACTATTTCTTCCAAGAGCTACAGAATACACACACTTTTTTTTTCCTTTAATTGCATTTTAGGTTTTGGGGTACATGTGAAGAACATGCAAGATTGTTGCATAGGTACACACATGGCAGTGTGATTTGCTGCCTTCCTCCCCTTCACCTATACCTGGCATTTCTCCCCATGCTATCTCTCCCAACCTCCCCACCCCCCGTCCCTCCCCCATTTCCCCCCAACAGACCCCAGTGTGTAGTGCTCCCCTCCCTGTGTCCATGTGTTCTCATTGTTCAACACCTGCCTATGAGTGAGAACATGCGGAGAATATACATACTTTTCCTTGCCACATGGATCATTCTCAAGGATAAACCATATGTTAGGTCACAAAACAAATCTTAAAACATTCAAAAAATGGAAATAATATCAAGCATCTTCTCTGACCACAATGGAATAAACTAGGAATTACACAACATGCTCCTGAATGACCAGTGGGTCAATTGAAAAATTTCTTGAAACATATGATAATGGAAACACAACATACCAAAACCTGTGGCATGCAGCAAACGTAGCACTAAGAGCAAAGCTTAAATCTACAAGTGCCTATATATCAAAACAGGGAAAAACTTCAAATAAACAATCTACTGATGTATATTAAAGATAGAAAAGGGCAAACCAAACCCCAAATTAGTAGAAAACCAAATAATAAAATCACCACAGAAATAAATGAAATGGAAATGAAGAAGACAATACAAAAGGTCAATGAAACAAAGTTGGGATTTTGAAAAGTTAAAGTAGACAAATCTTTAACCAGACTAAGAAAAACAATCCAATAAAATCAGAGACAACTGGTATTACAGAAATTGAAAGTATCATTAGTGGCTACTATAAGCAACTAAATGCCAATAAATTGGAAAATCTAGAAGAAATGGACCAATTCCTAGACATATACAACCTGTCAAGATTGAATCAGGAAGAAATCCAAAACCTGAACAGACCAATAAGAAGGAATCAGATTGAAGCTATAACAAAAAGTTTCCCAGTAAAGAAAAGCCTGGGACCCAATGGTTTCACTGCTGATTTCTATCAAACATTTAAAAAAGAATTTACCCTAATCCTACTCAAGCTATTCCAAAAAATAGAGAAAGAAGAATACTTCCAAACTCATTCTATGAGGCCCCTGGGATGCAAGGATGGTACAATGTATGCAAATCAATCACTGTGATACATCATATCAACAGAATGAAGGACAAAACCCATATGATCATTTCAATTGATGCTGAAAAGCATTTGATCAAATTTAACATCAGTCATAAGAACCCTCCAAAAACTGGTATGAAAGAACATAATTCAATATAATAAAAGCTCTACATGACAGATCCACATCTAGTATTGTTCTAAACAAGGATAAACTGAAAGCCTTTCCTCTAAGATGTGGAACACACAATGATGCCCACTGTTATTCAACATAGTACAAGAAGTCCTAGCTACAGCAGTCAGATGAGAGAAAGATATAAAGGGCATCCAAATTGAAAAGGAAGAAGCCGAGTTATCCATGTTTGCAGATGATATGGTTTTATTGTTGGAAAATTCTAAAGACTATACAAAAAACTCTAAGAACTATTAGAAACAAATCTAGTAAAGTTGCAGGATATAAAAATCACCATACAAAAATCAATAGTATTTCTATATGTCAATAGTGAGCAGTCTGAAAAAGAAATAAAAAGCCACACATAAAATTAAATACCTAGAAATTAACCAAAGAAGTGAGAGATCTTTATAATAAAAACTGTCAAACTCTGAGAAATTGAAAGACATGCAAAAAATGAAGATAATCCATGTTCATGGGAAACACTGTTGTTAAAATATCCATACTACCCATAGCAATCTACAGATTCAAGATAATCCCTATCAAAATACCAAGGACATTCTTCACAGAAATAGAAAAAAAAAAGTCCTAAAATTTACATGGAACCACAAAAGATCCATAATAGACAAAGCTGTCCTAAGCAAAAAGAACAAAACTGGAAGAATCACATAAGCTGATTTCAAATTATAGCTGACTATAGAGCTATGATAACCAAAACAGCATGGTACTGGCATAAAAACAGACACATAGGCCAACAGAACAGAATAGAGAACCCAGAAAACAATTCATACACCTAAGTGAACTCATTTTTGACAAAGGTGCCAAGAACATAAACTGGGGAAAGCATAATCTCTTCAATAAATGGTACTGGGAAAACTGGATACTTCCATGTTCAGAAGAATGAAACTAGACCCTTATCTCTCACCATATACAAAAATGAAAACAAAGTTGATTACAGACTTACATCTAACACCTCAAAGTACAAAATTACTACAAGAAAACATTGGGGAAAGTCTCCAGTACATTGCTCTGAGCAAAAATTTCTTGAGTATACAAGCACAGGCAAACACAGCAAAAATAGACAAATGGGATCACATCAAGTTAAAAACCTTCTACACAGCAAAGGAAGCAATCAATAAAGTTAATAAAAATCCCACAGAACAGGAGAAAGTATTTGCAAACTCACCATCTGACAAGGGATTAATAAGCAGCATATATGAGAAGCTCAAACAATTCTACAGGAAAAGAGTCTAGTCTATTTTTAAATGGGCAAAAGATTTGAACTCCTTTCTCAAAAGAATATTTACAAATGGCAGTTAGACATATGAAAAAGTGCCCAATAACATTGATCATAAAAATGCAAATCAACACTAAAATGAGATATCACCTGATCCCACTTAAAATGGCTTACATCCAAAAATTGGGCCAATAACAAATGCTGACAAGGATATAAAGAAAAGGGAACCCTTAATACACTGTTCGTGGGAATGTAAATCTGTAAAACTACTATAGAGAACAGTTTGGAGGTTCCTCAAAATACTAAAAATAGAGCTAACATATGATCCAGCAAACCCAGTGCTGGACATAAACCCAAAAGGAAATCAGTGTATCAGACAGATATCTACACCCACACGTTTGTTGCAGCTCTGTTCATAGTAGCCAAGGTTTGAAAGCAACCTAAGTGTCCATGAACAGAGAAATGGAAAAAGAAAATGTGGTACTTATACACAATGGAGTACTATTTAGTCATTAAAAAAAAGAATGAGATACAGTCATTTGCAACAACATGCATGGAACTGAAGGTCATTATGTTAAGCGAAATAAGCCAGACACAGAAAGACAAATGTTGCATGTTCTCACTTATTTGTGGTATCTAAAAAATCAAAACGACTGAACCCATGGAGACAGAGAGTAGAAGGATGGTTACCAGATGATAAGAAGGGTAGTGGTGGGGGTGGGGAGAGATGGGGATGGTTAATAGGTACAAAAAATAATTAGAATGAATGAATAAGACCTATTATTTGATAGCAAAACAGAGTGACTATAGTCAATAATTTAATTGTACATTTAAAAATAACTAGCGGAGTAGAACTGTATCATTTCCAACACAAAGGATAAATGCTTGAGCAGGTGAATATCCTATTTTCCATGATGTGATTGTTACACGTTACATGCATGCCAGTATCAAAACATCTGAGGTACTCCATAAATATATACACCTATGTATCCACAAAAAGTACAAATAAATTATTTTAAAAACTAAAAAGAGCAAAATGGGTTATTTAAAAACAAGCATGGGCTCTATCAGAGACTGCTTCTTTGTTCACTGAGCCCATTTCCTCTTCTTCCTGGACCTACAGATAAACTTTCACTTTTTTTCTTTTTCCTTTTTTTTTTTTTTTTTTTTTTTTTGCTGTTCTAGTTAATGAAATGTGAATGGAAGTGATATGCACCAGTTCCTGGCCTGGACCATAAAGCCCTGGGACACATGATCCTCCATCCTTTTTCACCTTCAGCCAGCTTGGTACACATGTGCATGGTAAGTCTAGAAGCCAAGAGTTGAAGATGGTGGAGCCATGAGATGGAAGGAGCCTGGATCCCCAAATCACCACGTGGAAATTAAAGCCCTAGCCTTTTGTCTAGGACTATATTTTAGACTTTATGTGAGCTAAAAATAACCTTTTGTTTGAGCTATAACACATTTTTTAGTTTTATTACAGCATCCAGCAAAAACAGCAGCCAGCAATGTCTCAACTATTGCAACAAAAGCAAATTGTAAATTTCCTTGTGGGAAATTATTTTTATGTTTGTCTTTTCACCGCACAGAGAATTCCCTTTTATCATTTATATAAACAACTATATCTAATAAATGATTCCTGATATTTACAATTAAAGTAGTATTGCTTACTTTTGTGAAGAATCAAATCCATGCTCATTATACTTTCATTCCCATGTATTTCTCTAAAGTCCTCCCCAGCTTTATTATTCTCCCAGAGCTGTAACTGGACTCTTAAGTAGTTAACTTTAATTCATCTCCATCTCAGTCCTGATATATGCTAGATTTTGTCTTATATTTTTCTTTCCCCCAAAACTTCCATACCACTATGTGGGGAAGAGTGTTTATTATGCTTCCTCCAATGTTCATTGTCCACTTGAACCACTGTAACAGAACCCCTTTTAGATAAATATATGGCCAACCAAAATAAATGCTACATAACCCAGGATGCCTTGTATCTATATACAGAGTTTTGGCTAGGCTGTTACCAAATGGAAGTCAACAGAAATTTGTGCAACTTCCAGAGGTATCCTTTCTCGACTGCTAGAATGTGGATGTGAGTGCTGGAGTTCCAGCAGACATCTCAGACTTTAAGGTGACCTTGATGAGCACAGAAGCTCCACATGGCAGAAATACAAGATAAAAAGAGGCTGAACTATACCAAAGCAGAAGATCTTATATCGCTTTTACATGTGAGAGAAATCAATTTCTCCCTAAGACAGCTCTTCTTGTTTTGGGTTTTTCTCATAAAACTCAAACATAATTCTAAGTATATATCTAAGTATCCTAAATAAATATACCTGCTAGATTTTAGTTGGGTGTCTATAGTTCTAAATCATTTTTCAGGAATGATATATTTGATGGAATTTTTTTTTCCCAATTGGAGAGAACTCATTGTGCATTGCTTGTAATGTAAAAAGGTTGTATGATATTCAGCCACAAAAAAGAAGAAAACAGATTTTTATCTGAGGATTAATTCAGAAAGACTCATCTTTTCTCCCAGAGCTATAACTGGGCTCTTAAGGAGTTAAGTTTAATTCATGAGCTGGTTCTTAGATGTTGATGTTAACTCTCAAACTCAAGCTGCACACACAAACTCATGCCCGTGCACACACATACACAGAGAGAGAGAGTAAAAAACAGATTTGTTTCTCCAACTGGATGGAGAACTTTCTGAGCATATAAACAATGAAAATGTGCATCTCACCCAAGCTCTCTGATTCTACCATTTAACTCTAAATTCCATCAGTACCCTTCTGCAGACAGTTACTCAAGATACTTCTGTCTGCATCATTTACTATTTTTGCATATTTCTTGGCTCAGTACACTCCAAACATCAAAGATGATACAATAGAAAGAGCACTGAAATCAGACTGACCTGAATTTACCAACCACATGGTAATTGCGTGTTACTACATCACTTAGTTTATTTCATCTATAAAATACATTTCTACCTTATAAAGTTGTTGAAAGAACTAAATAAGTTAGTGCATGCAAAAACATGCATTAAAGTGTTTTACAGAATATTTGTGTTAAATAATTGTTGACAGATTTCCTTTTTAATTGAACTTCTGTTTTACCCAGTTTTCCCCTTAAAAGCAACCATTCTAATAAAATATTCACAATGGAGAAAAATTAAAGAGGGACATCTTAATACTTTGAAGGGGCTACAAAGTGAGGGTTATGTACAAGGAAGCTCTAAATAATTTTTTTTATACTATTCATTGTTGATCTCAAATGTAAGAATCACTGCTCACGGATAAAATAATCCATAGGAAATAGGAAGAACGGCAACCTCTGAAATAACTATGCCAATGTCTAGAAAGTCACTTTAGGAACACTTCTGGCTTCTATTAAATCTCTATCCAGTACTAACATTGGCTTGAATTTAATGCAGGAGGTAATGGGAGGTCATTTGAGTTGTCCCTTGAAGCAGCCAAGAACTTTTACGGCCGTTCTCAGAGTAGAGCCGAGAACTTCATTCTCATCTGTAAACTGAAGACATTTGATGAGGTAACTTCCAGTTGTAAAAATTGTGTGGTTAGCTAATTATTCATTATAGAGATCTAGCCCTTTAAATTTATCTCAAATGAATCAGTTTATGTCAATTCAAGCCTGGCAGAACTAAGCCATTAAAAAACAAACAAACAAAAAGATGTTTTGCATTTTATCTTGGCCTTACACAGAGTGCACTACAAAAAAAAAAAATTGTTAAGGATATTTTATCCTGAAGAAAATTTAAAAATGTATAGAACAGTCAATATAACCAGCCTATATGGACTATGGTTAAAAGAAGTAGGGGTGGGTTGGGGGAGGAGGAAGAAAAGGAAGAAAAAGAGAAGTATCAGAATTTCTTCTATCATTACTTAACACCACTTTTTCTGTAGGCAATGATGAATGTAACACTTCTGTTCCTCTCATGATAGCCCTTTCTGTCAGACGGGAACAAACCTCTTATCTTGGGGTTGAATTTTTCTCAGTAATAAGCATTTCAATCTAATATGTTCCATGATGAGGAGGATAAAGGAAAAGCAGATGTGGAATCTCTCTTCCACCATTCTAACATTTTCAGCATTCCTTTAGGACAAGCTGGATGTGGCTTTCCCCTGAATACCTTCCCAATCTTCAGCACCAACTAAAATAATTACTTCCCACCATGGGCTTCTGGAAGAAATTGTAGGAAAAACAGTGAAAATGTTTCTTTGGCAGCCATAACTTTTGGGGAACAAATTAGAGGTATTTCCATTTCTTCTGATTAGTAGTGCTATTTTGTAGAGCATTCCAGGTAAATGTTAACACCTGGGATCACTACAGCCATGCTACATTGAACAGCCACCAGCATTTAGTGTAACATTTACAAACTCTTAGAAAGCAAGTAGGAAGATGACCCCAGTGGAAAATCTGCATAGTCCTTTCCTGTGGGGAAAGGCCCTCACGGTTTTAACTAAATGTATACAGACTATCCCATCACAATCAACTTGTAGGCATAGAAGATAATACAAAGTGTGTGTTGATCTCACCATGACTGTTTCCTTGTTAACTAATATGCTTTGTAATGACACAGAAAATAGCCTTCTGAAAGAAAATTAAACAAGAAAAGTCGAAATATTTTTCAAATATTTTGATTATGCAATTGAATGCCATGACCTAACATTAAAATCCATTTTTGTACTTAAAGCTGCTACTTTCTGGAAAATTTTATGCCAAATTTATTTTTTAGGATTCACAGTTAATCAACAGCTTTTATCTTGAAGCAAAAGAGGACTCTGAACAGAACTGTACTATGCAATTCAAATGAGTTTTTGCTAGGATTAATACATATGATGAGACTGAGGGATGCTTGTGTGTACACTTCAATTATTTTTCAAGCTTGAGGTATGATTGACAATTTAAAATTGTATATATTTAACACATACAACTTGATGCTTTGATATATGTATGCATTATGAAATATTCACTACAATCAGGCCAATTAACATATCTATCACCTCATAGTTACCTGTGAGGTAAGAACACTTCTCCTCTAACCTCTTAACAAATTTCAAGTATATTATACAATACTGTTAACTATAGTTACGTTGTTGTACATTAGGTCTCCAGATTTTATCTTGCAAAGCTGGAATTCTGTAGCTCTTCATGAACATCCCCTCATACTCCCCACTCCCCAAACCCTTAGTAACTACCATTCTACTCTGTTTCTATGTGTTTGACATTTTTAGATTTGACATTTTAATTTTATTTATTGTTTTGAGACAGAGTTTTTGCTCTGTTGCCCAGGCTAGAGTACAATGGCATGATCTTGGTTCACTGCAACATCTGCCTCCTGGATTCAGCCTCCAGAGTAGCTGGGATTACAGGCACCTACCCCTACACCTGGCTAATTTTTGTATTTTTAGTAGAGTTGAGGTTTCACCATGTTGGCCAGGCCGTTCTTGAACTCTTGACCTCAGGCGATCCACCTGCCTCGGCCTCCCAAAGTGTTAAAATTACAGGCATGAGCCATCACGCCCAGCCAGATTTCACATTTTTAGCTTCCATCTATAAAGAACATGCACTTCCTTCAGCCAACAAATATTTATCAAGTAACAATTATGTGCCAGACTGTTCTTAGCATTGATTACACTGTGGCGAAAAGAAAAATCCATCAGATAAAATCTCTAGCTATGTAGAGTTCACAGTCTAGTGGGAGAGGCAGACATTAAATGTTTAAAATTTTAAATAAATATATAATTATGAAAATAGGTTACTCTGAGAGGGGATAAATGTAGAGAGCTAAATTTGAATTGCTTTAGAGAGGGAGGTCACATAAGTTCTTTCTAAGAAAGAAATATTTAAATTAAAACCTCAAGGTTGAGTAAGATTTAACCAAGAGGAATGTTTCAGGGAAGAATTCCAAGCAGAGAAAACTTCAGCACCATCCAGTAGCGCTCAGAGATTCAAGTTTCACCAACATCAGCCCTCAGGTGAGATAATTCTTATACTGTGTTTCTAAAAGTTAGAAATTTCCTGGATGACATCATGGAGCTGGATCATCATAGTGTATGGAATTCACAGTGATGAAACACTCCAGTGATTCTCTTGACTGGATAAAATTTGACATTTATAATAGCTAAAACTAAACTTTAGCTTGTAAGACTTGTTCACCTAATTTCACAAAAATGAAAGTAGTCGCTTCACTTAAGATTAAAGTTTCAGATATACGGTCTTGCCAATAGGGTCAGAAATCTCCAGGAAATATACACAGATATTTATAGATGATTTCAGATACTAGGAAAATCATGCAGACTGTTATGTTTCTTTCCAGGAGGACCACCTCTCGTTCAAAATCTTTTTGAAAAATGCCTAGAGAGTCTATAGCATCATATAATTATATCATTTCTTATTCTGAAAAGGCTGTAGTTCTGCCATGTTCACAAGTTCCACGGTGTTCAGAAATACTACAATACTCACAAGAGAATACATTTATAGTCTAAAGTCTGCATTTTATTTATTTTTATTTTTATTTGAGACAGGGTATTGCTCTGTCACACAGCAGGAGTGCAGTGGCACAAGCATGATTTACTGCAGCTTTGAACTGCTGTCCCCAAGCGATCCTCCCACCTCAGTCTCCTGAGTGGGAATAAAGGTGTGTGCCACTGCAACCGGCTAATTTTAAAACTTTTTTGTAGAGACAGGTCTCACTTTGTTGCCCAGGTTGACCTTGAACTCCTGACCTCGAAACAATCTTCCTGCCATACCCTCTTAAAGTGCTAGAAGTATAGGCACGACCCACCACTCCTGGCTTAAAATGTATTAAATTTCAAATCTCTGCAAAAGATGTGGAGATTTCTAGGATGTATCATATACAACAGAGCTGCCTATCTCTCAATTCATTTAAACAATTTAGTACACATGATTTTCATTAACTTCCTTATTACTCTCTTAGCCATTTTCTAAAGTGTATTTCATAAAACACCAGATTCAAGAGATCAATAGATGTTACGTTAAAAAAAAAACATTTTTTAACAGTGTGGAAATGCCATATTGAACAAAGTAAAGAATTATTGCATAATTATTCAGATCCTTTCATATGCTAATATTAATTGATAAAATCAAAAGAGGTATTGCACTTGATGGTATTTCCAAGATACCTTTATCTACAGAACCTTTTTTTTTTTTTTTAAATCAGTATCTGTGGGAATCAGCATTCTGTGAAGCACCCCTTGGAAATGCTGGCCTAATGAAAAATTTTAAGTTGAATGAGTGAAGCAGATATCTAGGAATTATCTTACATGAGAACTTTTACCGAGTGTTAGTAAACAAGGTCTTGCAAGTTTCATGATTCAAAATGTCACAGTAAAGAATAAGTAATTGCTACCCATAAAAAGTAATAGTGAATATTAATAACTCCTATCTGAAGACTAGCTTTAACCGAGTTCATGTAGAGTTAAATGAGAGTATGAGGACCTTACAACACATTAGTATGATTTATGCTGCAACTGCTTTGCAATTATAATGATGCCAAAATTTAAGACTTTGTTAGAAGCTATTACATTAGGCCAATTTGTTTTCTGCCACTATATTCCATGTCACAGGTCTAAAGAATGCATCAGCAGATATAGCACAACAATATTTATCAGAATGTGTTTCTTCCAATGTTAATAGACAAGAACAGGCTCAAAGCTTAATATCTCTCCTAAACCTACCCGACATTGATTTGCCAAGTGTGCTTTCTGGAGGCTCCCAAAAATCACTGAAGGAAGAAAGTTTTTTTCTAGTTAGAATGTCAAAGTTTCTCACAGATCATTGTTCTCATAAAGACAACTAGAAAAACTGGACAGTTTGGCGAGTTATGGATGCAAACTAATCAAAATAACTAAATTCCAGAAAGGGACAAGACTTTCCTAGGTCAGGTACCAGCAGGTATTGTTCAATGTCCACTGCCTCTCTCTTGACAACTTCTGTTTTATTAGAGAAAGCTTCATTTATGAGAAGGTGAACTGAGCTTGGAAGACAGCATTGGATTAAGTAGGTGGAGAGATGGCAAGAATTTCAAGTTTATGGAAGAACTGACATGGGGAGTTTCACTCTTTGTTAATGAGAAGACATTATATGTGTGTATGTGTGTATATATATACATATATATATATACATACACACACACACACACATACACACACATATATATATGAGAGACAGTGAGTGCCAAAGTTGTTTACTTTTATTCTCAAGGTCTAATTAAATTATTGAAAATTTTAAGGAGAGAATCCACGGACCCTTTGAAGGAGGTGGATTGCTTCTTCAAGCCCCAGGAGATAGCTGAAAAACTGTGAGTCCCCAAAGTTCGAAAGGAGGATTGTCTGTCCCCAAGCATATACCCTCAATGGGGAACCTGAAGGTTGAGATTATGGGAGAAGGATTTAACTGGATTTAACCTTACCTGGAGCTGAGACAAATTTAGAGGCCCAAGTGAAATATGGGGTAGAGGAAGCAGCAGGAAGAGTTCTATGAGCTCTCTTGGTCCCCAAGGAAGCCATTTCTGACTTTGTCTCACAGAGGTCCTTGGGGAGGGCTGCCAGATGAAGTGGGAAAAGACCACAAGGAGAAGAAAACCTCTGGCTAAACTAACAATTTCAATTGAACGTGCATTTTCCTGGACTCAATTCGTGGGAAGGGGTGAATCAGGAGTAGAGACACAGCACAGAAGCCCACAGGCTGAGAGGCACTAAACCTGACAGCCCTGCTTGCATTCTTGGCTGGAAGACTGGTAGCCTGGGGCAAGCTCTCAGCCCTGCTCTCCCACTGCCTGGAAATAAACTGGGTGCTGTTGCCCAGGGTGGGGGCCACAGTGGGAGTGAGATGAGCCTTTTGGGCTGCGTAGGAGCAGGGTGAGGCCTGTAACTGCTGGCTTTCCCCGACTTCCCTGGCATCCTGCATGACTCAGCAGATGCAGCCATGATCTCCCTGGGAATATAACTCCATTGGCCTGAGAACCACAACCCCATCCTCCACAGCAAGCCCAGTGCAAGGACAGTCTGAGATCAGACAGACCTAACTCTGTCTCCACCTGATAGTCTTTGTCTACCCTCACTGGTAGCCAAAGACAAAGGATGTAATAGTTTGGGAGCTCTAGGGCCCCATCTACCACCTGATCCTCCCTATACCACCACAGCTGATGCTCTCTTGAAAGTGCCACCTCATGGCAGAAGGCCAACCAACACAAAACTAGTGCAATAAACAAAACTACAACCAAGGACCCTTACGAAGTCCATTTCACTCCCCTGCCACCTCCACCAGAGCAGGTGCTACTGTCCATGGGTGAGAGATCTGAATACGGTTCACATCACGGGACCCTGGGCAGACAACCCTCAGTACCTACTCAGAGCCCAGTAGCTCTGCTGGGTGGCTAGATCCAAAAGAGAAATAACTGTCACTGCAGTTTGGCTTTCAGGGTGCCACACTCCTAGGGAAGTGGGGAGAGCACAACATCAAAGGAGCACCCCATGAGACAAAAGAATCTGAACAGTAGCCCTTGAGCCCCAGATCTTCCCTCTGGCACAGTCTACCCAAGTGAGAAGGAATCAGGAAAACAATTCTGGTAATTTGACAAAACATAGTTCTTTACCACCCCCAAAAGATCACACTCACTCACCAGCAATGGAGCCGATCCAAGAAGAAATTCCTGAATTGTGAGAAAAATAATTCAGAGGATCCATTATTAAGCTAATCAAGAAGCCATCAGGAAAATGTTAAGTCCAACTTAGTGAAATTTTAAAAAAATGATATATGACAGAAAAATATTCAGTGAAATAGCATAAGAAATCATGACTTCTGGAAATGAAGGACAGAGAGAAATGCAAAATATATAGAATGATTTAGGGATAATTTTCTCTATCTGGTGGAATACTGTCAATAGAACTGCTATCAGTTCCTCTTTGAATGCCTGATAGAATTCAGCTGTGACTCCATTTGGTTCTGGCCCTTTTTTGTTGGCAATTTTTTGTTACCATTTCAATCTTGCTGCTTGTTATTGGTGTGTTCAGAGTTTCTATTTCTTCCTGATTTTACCTAGGAGAGTTGTGTATTTCCAGGAATTTATCCATCTCCTTTAGGTTTTCTAGTTTATGTTCATAAAGATGTTCATAGTAGCCTTGAATGATCTTTCACATTTCTGTGGTATCGGTTATAATATCTCATATTTCATTTCTAATTGAGCTTATTTGATCTCTCTTCTCTTGGTTTATGTTGCTAATGGACTATCAATTTTATGTATCTTTCCAAAGAACCAGCTTTTTATTTCATTTATCTTTTGTATTTTTTTGTTTCAGTTTCTTTTCGTTTTGCTCTAATCTTTGTTACTTATTTTCTTCTGCTGGATTTGGATTTGGTTTGTTCTTGTTTCTGTAGTTCCTTGATATGTGGCCTTCGATTTTCTATTTGGGCTCTTTCAGACTTTTTGATGTAGGCATTTAAGGCAATGGACTTTCTTTTTAGCACTACCTTAGCTATATCCCAGGGGGTGTGGTAGGTTGTGTCACTATCATCACTCAGTTCAAAAAATATTTTAATTTTCATCTTGATTTTATTGTTTACCCAACAATCATTTGAGAGTAGGCTATTTAATTTCCATGTATTTGCATTGTTTTGAGGGTTCCGTTTGGAGTTGATTTCCAATTTTATTCCACTATGGTCTGAGAGAGTATTTGATACAATGTCAGTTTTCTTAAATGTAATGAGACTTGTTTTATGATCTATCATATGGTCTGTCTTAGAGAATGTTCCATGTACTGATAAATAGAATGTATATTCTGTAGTTGTTGGGTAGGATGTTCTCTAAATACCTGTTTTGTTGGGTAGGATGTTCTTTAAACACCTGTTAAGTTCATTTGTTCTAGGGCATAGTTTAAATTCATTATTTCTTTGTTGACTTTCTGTCTTGATGACCTGTCTAGTGCTGTCAGTGAAGTATTAAAGTCCTCCACTATTATTGTGTTGCTGTCTGTCTCATTTCTTAGGTCTAGCAGTAATCGCCTTATAAATTTGGGAGCTCCAGTGTTCAGTGCATGTATATTTAGGATTGTGATATTTTCCTGTGGCACAAGTCCTTCTATCATTAATGTCCCCCTTTGTATTTCTAAACTGCTGCTGCATTCTACTGAATGCATTCTATTGAATGAATTTTGCATTCATTCAATGAAGCCATTATCACCCTATTACCAAATACCAGGAAAGGACAGAACACAAAAAAGTACAGACCAATATCTCTGATTAATATAGATGCAAAATCCTCCACAAAATACTAGCTGACTGAATCCAATAGCATGTCCAAAAGATAATCCATTATGATCAAGTGGGTTTCATACCAGAGATGCAGGAGTGGTTTAACACACACAAGTCAATAAATGCAATATACCACATAAACAGAATTAAAAACAAAAATCACATGATCATCTCCACAGACACAGAAAAAGCATTTGACAAAATCCAACATCACCTAAAGATGAAAAGCCTCAGCAAAATCAGCATACAAGGGATATATCTTAAGGTAGTAGAAGTCATCTATGACAAACCCATAGCCAGCATAATACTGAAAGGGGAAAAGTTGAAAGCATTTTCCCTGAGAATTAGAACAGGACAAGGATGTCCACTCTCACCACTTCTATTCAACGTAGTACTGAAAGTCCTAATCAAAACCACAATGCGATACCACCTTACTCCTCCAAGAATGGCCATAATTAAAAAATAAAAAAATAATAGATGTTGTGGATGCAGTGAAAAGGAAACTCTTTTACACTGCTGTTGGGAATGTAAACCAGCACAACCTCTATGGAGAACAGTGTGGAGACTCCTTAAAGAACTAGAAGTAGAACTACCACTTTATCTAGTAATTCCACTACTGAGTACCCAGAGGAAAAGAAGTCATTATACAAAAAAAAAATACTTGTACATATGTGTTTACAGCAGCACAAGTCACAATTGCAAAAAAACTACCACTTTATCAAGTAAGCCTACTGCTGAGTATCTACCCAGAGGAAAAGAAGTCATTATACAAAAAAAAAAAAACAAAAACAAAAACTTGTACACACATATTTATAGCAGCACAAGTCACAATCGCAAAAACATGGAACCAGCCAAAATGCCCTTCAATCAAAGAGTAGATAAAAAAAATTGTAGTGTGTGTGACACACACACACATACTACATTATATGTAGTATATACATTATATAAACATTACATACATGTAGTATATACATTATATATATGTAGTATATACTATATTATATATATGTACAGTATATACATTATATACTACATATAATGTGCGCATGTGTGTGTATACACACACACACACACACACACACACACACACACACACACACACATATATACATACCATGGAGTAGTACTCAGCCATAAAAGGGAATGAAATAATGGCATTCACAACAACCTGGATGAAATTGGAGACCATTATTCTAAGTGAAATAACTCAGGAATGGAAAACCAAACATCATATGTTCTTACTCATAAGTAGGAGCTAAGCTATAAGGATGCAGAGGTATAAGATTGATATGATGGACTTTGGGGACTCAGGGGAAAGGGTGAGAAGGGAGTAAATAAAAGAGGGCCGGGCGCGGTGGCTCAAGCCTGTAATCCCAGCACTTTGGGAGGCCGAGGCGGGTGGATCACGAGGTCAAGA